TGGACAGATGGATATAGTTGAATGGATGGTCAGATGAATAGATAGATGAATAGATTTATGGGTAGATGGAAAGATGAATAGAGGGAAAGAGGTAGAAAGGAAAGGATGGGTGAAGGATGGATGGAAAGATGGGTGGATGACGCATGAGTGAATAGATGGAAAGATGAGTATTTGAATGATAGAGGATGGATGGATGGGTGGATGGATGGGTGGGTGAATGGATGGATGGATAGGTGAGTAGGTGGATGGGTGGGTGGTTGGGTGGATGGATGGATGGGTGGGTAGATGGATGGATGGGTGGGTGGATGGATGGGTGGGTGGGTGGATGGATGGATGGGTGGGTAGATGGATGGATGGGTGGGTGGATGGATGGGTGGGTGGGTGGATGGATGGATGGGTGGGTGGGTGGATGGATGGATGGGTGGGTAGATGGATGGATGGGTGGGTGGATGGATGGGTGGGTGGGTGGATGGATGGATGGGTGGGTGGGTGGGTGGATGGATGGGTGGGTGGATAGATGGATGGGTGGGTGAATGGGTGGATGGATAGGTGAGTGGGTGGACGGAAGGGTAAGTAGATGAATGATACAAACTCCATCTCAAAAGGGCTTAGCTGCCAAGAAGCATGCTCAGGGCTTTGGTTCCTCTGAAAGTGACCAGGGCAAAGAGTTGGAAGAGCAGTCATCACCAGCAGCATCCTGCAACTATTGTGGCCTGAGACTCCCCACCAGCCCCTCTCAGACATGCACCTTAATCTCTGTCTTGTGAGGACAGTGCACACCCTGTCATCTGCAGGGACACCCTGCTCCTAAAGACAGCTAACATGTGGACCAGCCCCTCAGCAGGAGGGTCTGGCCACCAGATGTTGGCCAGCACTAATGAGCCCAGTCTGTTGGTCACTAATTGACTAAAGTTTTGGGCACCAGTGACAGATGGAACCAGGAATGATAGAATAGACAGAGAGACCCGTCTCAGGGTTTGGGAGGCCCAGGCACTCCAAGCCAGACCAGGGGAAAGCAAGGGTTTCCCCACTCCCAAATCTAAACACCTGGTACCTTCTCACAGGGCCAAGGACCTGTTCAACTCCCACCATGGCCTTGGGGCTTCTCCAGGGGAGTTGGAGGTGGGGAATGTGTGGGAGCAGGAGGGGATCGTTTCTGGGCACAAGCATTGGAGCAGAAATAAGAGCGTACCCTCCTGGACAGGACGGAAGCGGTGGCCCTCCAGGAGGATGGTGGTGCGCCCTGCCTGCTGAGGGGGATGGAATTACAGCCAGTTCGCCCATAAACTTGTTCAGGCGATTTATGAGGCTTGGCCTGCTCAAAGCGGGGGCAGGCAGACTTGGGAGGCTTCTAATTGGAGCTGGGAAAGGAGAGGTCCCTGTGTTAATGGTAAATCCTCTTCCTTAAAACTACACATCTGGCCAGCTACCAAGTGTTTGTCCCTCTACATCACATCCCTACAGGGACAAGGACCCTAGCAGGTCTCAGCAGTGCTTAGGTGCAAGTGGCTCTTCCTAGACACAGACCTCGGAGTCAGAGGGCTGGGGCATTTCTGAGATGGAGGACCATGTTTCACATGAAGAACTCCAAAGAGGGCTGGGGACTTCCAGCACCTGAGAACCATGGGGTGGAATTTCTGCCCCAGGGGACTTCAAAACCAGCCCAACATCACGTCGGCTGTGGCTCATAAACCTACTTGGTGTTCTCACTGACCAGATGGCGTTACTCTCAGGGGACGTCCATAGCTTCTCAATGGTGGGGTCTTCAGGGTCATTCCTGCTTCCTGGCCTCTGACCATGCAGTGCACAGTCAATCAGTCAGACACTAGTGGTCAGGAAGAAGCTTTGCTGGTAGGAGACTGTATGCTGGCCTTACTCTGCAGGCTCTGAGCTCTGACAGCAAACCTAGAAATGGCTCAGGGAACTGTCCTTGTTCCTGATGTACAAGAGTCCCATTTGGTGCCTCAAAAGGTCCATCCTTGGCTGTGAGTTTCTTTCCCAGGTGGCCACTACCCAGGGCCACTTTGTGGGGAGTGTAGCATTCCAGTGGTCATGTCTATCCTGCGTAGCCAGGATGGGCGTAAACTTTTTCTCCCTGTCTTTCCCACAAATGCCCCCAAACTCCAGCCATCTCAGGACCACCAGGACACACCATGTGCCCTGACCCAAGAGCCCTGTGAGTCTGGCATTGTCTTGTCATCCCCCACTATGGGCCATGTTCAAGCTAAACCTAGAAACCTCCAGCACACATCCTTCTTGACTCAATGTTGGGCAACAATGAGAAGATTCTAGCCATGCCTGTGAGGCAAGCACACAGCCCTGTGATGTGAGCAGCCTGGAACCCCACGACACAGCCCTCTGCCTACCACCCCTCCCCTACAGCAGCATACAGGGACACCCCCCAAAGTGTTGGGCCCCAAGTCTTAGCAGCCTCACAGCACATATGGATGGCCTTGACAGACTGTGTAGACGACAGAGGCCTCTCAGTTGTCATGAACACTGGTGTCCCTTCCAAGGCCAAGTCTGTTTTGCTGGGCAAAGGACAAGAAGGGCACAGCCCAGGCAGAGCATGTTGTCCCTGAAAGGCCCCCACCATTCTACTGGGTCAGCTTGGTGCCACTGAGCCACACCCACCAACACAGGCTGGGTGCTGAGCCTGGGCCCAGCAGGTGTGCTGACTGAGGTGGCCCTTGGCCCTCTGCACAGCCCTTGTCTGAAGACTTCAGAGACTGGCCATGAAAGTGGCCATGCAGGCCACACTAACCAGGCCTTTTAAGGACAACAGAGACAGGTTCGCTCTGGTTGCCCTACCTTCTAGGACTACTGCTTGCCATCTGGTCAGGTGGGGCATTCCAGAGCTTTCCTGCAGGGCAGCTACTCTATCCTGAGGAGGAAGACATCATGGAACCACTTAGCTTCACAGCCAGGGACACCCCAATCCACCGCCAGTAGATGGAGCTCAAATAGGGGATGGCCTCTATCTACACTTGCTGCCTGAAAGGGGTGCCATCCAGAAGACATCTACATCCTCAGGACTCTCTCTGTGCCTCCTGGAGAGCTATGGGTGTCAGGCCCCGGTGCCCACAAGACGATATTCAGCAGGACACAGGCAGGCGTCAGTGTCAGTTGTCAGCCACCTCTGTGGGGGCCTCCTGATCCAGGGCCTGGGTCTGTGGGTTGTGAAGGGCCTGCCCTGAGTACCACAGGTGTGTGTACCTTGGTGCTGCCCCCCCCACACCCGCCCAGCCTCTCTGGCCAACTATGGTTGATGATGATATACCACGTTTGCCTGGCCAGTATCATCACCACAGTGAGCCTGGGGGCTGAGACAACACCCAGTGGGGTTCTGCAGGTAGCAATGCAGCTAGGCATGGATGGACACGGTTTACAGAGAAATAGAGATCTTAGTCTTTATGTCAGTGCCACACATTTTCAGCACAAGTCTACACCACCAGTCATAACACACATCCGCCTACGTTTACATCACCTATGTCTACACTGCACATCTACACATCACAGCTCTGTGACGGTTGCCTTACCAGTGCCTACTGACGAGTTAGAAGGATTCGCAAGACATAGAGTGAACCACTGACATAAGGAGCCCAGAGGCTCTGGGAGGGACCTGGCCTAGGAGGTTGTCCTCTGACAGAACTTTCCAGATGGGGGAAGAGCTGGCTTGGAGAGTGACTTTGCACTTGATGGTAGGGGAACTCTCAGATAAGCCACATCTCCAAGGCCACCTCTACACTGGAGAAACAAGCAGGGCTGTGCCCAGGCTTAATCCCTCCACTTTCTTCCCAAGCTGAAAGGTCCCAGTGCCTGGTGAGCACTGCAGCTGTGGTTCCTCAAGGAGCCCAGAGGGGGCGCCACCACTCTGGCCCCAGAGCCACCTTGCTGTCCTTGTTTTTTTTTTTTTTGGTGGGCCTGGGGTTTGAACTCAGGGCTTTGCACTTACAAAGTAGGCACTCTATCACTTGAGCCACACCTCTAGTCCATTTTTCTCTGGCTAGTTTTAGAGATGGGGTTTTGTGGAGTATTTACCCAGGATGGCCTCGAACCGCAATCCTCCTGATCTCAACTTCCCTAATAGCTAGGATTACAGGTGTGAGTGCCGGTTCCCAGCTCTGTCCTAGCCCTTGAGCCTCAACCCTTAATGCTCGGTCATTCCTGAATGTGTCTCAGTAGACTTGGCCAAAAGTACCAGGACTCTAGACACACAGTTGCCCCCAGATCCAATGGGGTCATGCCTTCATGAGTCCTTGGGTTCTGACGCTGTGGGCCACTGGATGTTTCTCTGTGCCAGCACTCAGAGTCTTTAAACAAGAGGCCCTGACCTAGGCCAGAGCGAGGACATGAGTACCTGGACAGATTTAACAGGCTGACTTTGCTTAGCATCCACCCTGTGGGACAGAGAGCAAGAGTCAATGGGATAGAGGGAGGGGAAATCACCAAGGGTTTCCTAGAGGAGTCCATTCAAAAAGAATGTTCTGAGTGCCTGCTGGTGGTGAATGTCACCCTTCCAACCTGGGCTCGGTTAATCCCCAGGGCAAAGGGAAATGTTCTTTGCTGTTCTACACACCGTGGTTCAGGTGCCAGGCAGGACAGGGACACCAGAGTACACTGCCCTGAGGTGAGGTCCTCAGCCTTGTCCACACTGCCCAGGACTCAGCTTGCCTTCCTCCCCTTAGTGTCTCACCCTGTAGGGAGCACAGGGACTCAGAGCCCCGCCCCCAGGAGGACAATTGTTGCCTTGACAGGATTGTTACCTATGGGACAGTCATCCCTGAAAAGCCACTGTGGGCTGGGGCCCCCTGGGAGAAGAGCTGGCCACAGTGGAGGATGGAGGGCTCCTGGGCTTTGAAGGCAGCTTGCTAGTCCTACCCGGGAGACTCTTAGGAACCGTGGAACCTGTAAACTTCCAGAGAAGCCTATTGTGACACGAGGTGACCAAAGAGGGTCCGTCTTTATTTTGGTGACACTCAGAGAAGAATGCTGCAGACATGTTTAACCCACACATATTAGATTGTCCGGCGGTGATTTTTGACAATGGGTCTGGACTCTGCAAAGCTGGGCTATCTGGGGAGATCGGGCCCCGCCATGTTATCAGCTCCATCGTGGGACACCCGAAATGTAAGATGCCCTCCACAGGAGCCAATCAGAAGAAGTACTTTGTTGGGGAGGAAGCCCTGTACAAGCATGAGGTCTTGCATCTGCACTCGCCCATTGAGCGTGGCCTGATCACGGGCTGGGACGATATGGAGAAACTCTGGAGACACCTGTTTGAGTGGGAGCTGGGCGTGAAGGCCAGTGACCGGCCAGTGCTCATGACTGAGTCCTCCTTGAACCCGAGGGAGAACCGAGAGAAGACTGCTCAAATGATGTTTGAGAGCTTCGATGTACCTGCCTTCTATTTGTCGGACCAGGCTGTGCTGGCGCTCTACGCCTCAGCCTGTGTCACAGGCCTAGTGGTGGACAGTGGGGACGGGGTCACCCGCACTGTCCCCATCTTTGAGGGCTACTCCCTGCCTCACGCGGTCACCAAGCTCTATGTGGCAGGCAGGGACATTACAGAGCTCCTCACTCGGCTCCTCCTGGCCAGCGGGAGGACCTTCCCGTGCCCACTGGACAAGGCCCTAGTGGATGACATCAAGGAGAAGCTGTGCTATGTGGCTTTGGAGCCCGAGAAGGAGCTTTCCCGGCGGGAAGAGGAAGTCCTGAGGGAGTACAAGCTGCCTGATGGGAATGTCATCTACATTGGGGACCAGCTGTACCAGGCACCCGAGGCCCTGTTCTCACCCGAGCAGATGGGCACCCAAAACCCTGGGCTGGCGAAGATGGTGTCCACCAGCATTACCAAGTGTGATGCCGACATCCAGAAGACGCTCTTTGGGGAGATTGTGCTGTCTGGGGGCACCACGCTGTTCCAGGGGCTTGACGACCGGCTGCTGAGAGAACTGGAACAGTTGGCTTCCAAAGGGACCCCTATCAAGATCACCGCGCCCCCTGACCGCTGGTTCTCCACATGGATTGGAGCCTCCATTGTTACGTCTCTGAGCAGCTTCAAGCAGATGTGGGTCACCGCTGCAGACTTCAAGGAGTTTGGGACATCCGTGGTCCAGAGAAGATGCTTCTAAGGATCCACAGTGTCACTGGGGTCCATGGCATCACTTGTAGGGGCACATGTGGGAGGTGAGCTGACCTACGGCTTCAACAGGACATTCAATAAAAGACAAAACAATGGAGAATCTGGTCATGTGCTGGGGTCATTCTCAGTGACAGCAGAGTCTTTTCTGACCCTGGGGTTGGATCTGTTAAGTGGTTCTGCTCTGCCCTCCCTCTCAAGAGAGCCCCAGGTTGTGAGTGAGGTTGTGTTGTCCTTCTGAGTTGTTCTGAAAGCAAAGGCTGCAGGACTGCAAGCTACCTTTCAAAGAAGGGAGTCAGGTGGTTCTGAGATGGGTCAGCTGGGAGGGACAGACAGAAATGCCGTCCTGTCCTGGGGCTCTGTGAACCCTCTCGTGGGTGGGTTCTTCTTTGCTGTGATGGAGCCAGGCGGCTACCCAGAATAGGGACACTGACCTGGACAGACAGGGTCGGCAGGGAGCAAAACCCACCACTGTTTAGGGTTCTCTCAACACCTCTACTTGGTGATTGTGATTTTTGTTTGTTTCTACTTTCAAGGATGTTTATAGAATCAGTTTGGGGACAAAATACTGAAAACAAAGTGAATGGTCATTATTAAATTTGGGATTGAATAATTTATTCATGGAGGGAATTTTTCTGCATAGATTTGATGGAAATCTCCTAAAGTATTACTGAGGGAGAACTGGAAAAGACAGAGAAGTCCTTATACGATTCTCTCTCCTCACCTAGTCTCCAGCGTAGGTATTTAGATGACCATGTCCAGGCACACACACAGGTGCAGGTGCTTTTACACTGAGAGAGATCAGGAGGAAGGGTCCCCACCATTGAGATCGGGAAGGAAGGGTACATGCCGTGAGTGATTCACCTGGCTGATGGGATAGCAGTGAACGAAAGACGATGTGGGGGAAAGTGAAGAAAATATAAAACCGAAAGGATTGTGTTTAAAAAAAACTCAGCCATACTGAAATAAATGCAGTCATCTAAAACTGAGTGCTAATTTACACAGCACTTATTTTTGCCTCATTTTACTTTCAATCTATGTCATGTCTGAAGTGAGCCTAGGGTGGAACTGAAGCTACCTTGGGTCATTGTACAATCCACTTTCCATCTCGGTGTTTTCATTGGTATAGTCAGACTGTGTACTCAGGGCAATTGCTGTGTCATGGATTAGGTCTGCAGTTCGATTTTCTCTTTCTCATTCCTGCCTCTCTTTTCCTGACTTCCTGTGCATAATGAGAATTTTTAAAGAATTTTTAAACACTACTATTTGTAGTGTTTTTGAGTGTATGGCTTTCCATAGGTTTTGGCGATCACCCTTGGTACCATACTGTGTATGTCAGTAACTCTGGGATGGCCACCTGTCACTTTCACCCCAAAACCCCCACCACTTGGATTGGCATCTTCCCAGACTCCCCGGGCTGAGAAGCCTAGTCCCTGAGGCACCCATTTGTTGTTCACTCCCTTGCTTGTTCTCTCTCTTTTTAGTCTCTCATTCTTTCTCTTTCTCATCCATTAACTTGCTGATTCACTCATTCACTCATTCATTCTCTCATTCGCTTCTGATTCATTCACTCACTCATGCACTAAGTCACACATTCACGTTCACACTTGTTCATATATTCCCTCTCACACACACATTCACTCATTTGCTCACTCACTCACTCACACACTCACTCACTCACTCATTCACTCATACACCCCCTCACTCATTCACCCATCTGCTCATTCACCCACCCACTCATTCACCCACTCACTCACCCACCCACTCATTCACTCGCTCACTCACCCACCCACCCGTTCACTCACTCACCCACACTCTCATTCACTCACTCACCCACACTCTCATTCACTCACTCACCCATTCATACCACAAATGCTGGTGGGTGGCCTACCAGATCCAGGCATGGAGCTGTGTGCTGTGGTTCCCAAGGAAGCAGAAGAGCTGCCAAGCCAGGGAGGAGCAGTGAGACAGGAAGCCAGCACACAGGGCTGCTGGCTCTGCGGGTGGCAGACCTGAGACCCCCAGGAAGTGCAGAGCAGAAGTTTTAAGCCTTGCATCCAGTTTAAACCCTCACTTGGTCTTTTGCCCCCATCCCATGAAATGGGGGTGCACTAGGTGTTGCAGAGTCCACACACCTGTGAGGACAAGATGGTGTCCTTTTGGGTACTATGGGCAGCAAGGCACTGTTCTGGCCCTGGACCCCAGCCCCTCATGGCTTCTCCCTGAAACTTGAAACCCCGAATGGAATCCTCCCCAAGGCAGAGGGGCTATATGTACAGGTGACAGCTCCCTATCCATGAAGAAAGCCAGCAGAGTGGGCTTCCTGTCCTTCACCACCCTGTCCTTCCCCAAGTAGAGCTAGGGCCAGTTCCAGGGCAGCCCCCAGCCAGGGGATGGGGCTCCTGGGATACCCACAAGCCAGGGAAGACCTCTGGGTCATAAATCTACACCTGTATCTCCTTGACTCCTTTCTCAAATGTGGAAATAGCACTCAGTGCATTCTGTTCACCACCCACAGGACAGTGAGACAGGGCTGGGCCTCTTGGAGACTGCTAGGATCTGAGTCCCCTTGTGCCAGCTCAGGAGTCTTGTGAACACATGACGCACAACTGTTCTCAGTTTAAATATTCAGCACATCCACTTCCATAAGAGAGGGGATTTGTGGATGCTTAAGAGTTCAGACTGGTGCTCGTAACCCAACACAGACAAGAACACAGGGCTGCTGGCGGATCCCAGGCCACTGGGAGGACAGCCCAGTGCTCAGTGTGCAAGGCCAGGACCCCTCCCCTGGGCAATCTGTCCTGGCCACCCTTGCCCACTCTACTCTGACTCAGGGGTGGCTTCCGCCTTTTCAGAGGCATAGGTGAACTTGGCTGTAGATAGAACTCCTGGCCCTGGTTGGGGGGGTGGAGTGGGGACTTGGCAAACACCTGAGAGATGGCACTTTCCATCTCCCTCCTAAGGGATTCCTTCCAGAAGCTGAGTTCTTCTGGGGCCAACTGGTCCTTTGATGCTAAGCTGGCCAGTAGGCTTACTCCTGTGCAGTACCCCCTTCTTGGGGAGGGGAACTCAGGTGGCCCTACCCCTAACTCCAAAGTGGGAACCCAACCTTCCTGGAAGACTGTCCTGCTTTGTTTCCTCAGGACAGGCTCTGGCCATCAGGCCTGTTCTCATCCAGGAGGCACCCTCCTGAAGCAAGTCCCATACCCCTCAGCTACAGCCTCTCACCTAGGTAAAGAACCTGAGCCAGTTCCAGCCTCACAGTTCTGCTAAAACTGGGAGCCTCTGTACCCCATGAGACATGCCTGCCACGGGGCCCACACTCCTTCCTGCTGGGCCCTGTCCCAGCTGTGGGCCAAGCTGTCACCAGGCCACTTGTGCAAAGCCATCAGCAGCAAGTGGCAATTTCCCTCCTCCTTGTTTACTTTCTGATCCAGCCACAGCTTTCGTCTTGCTTATAAATGTCGGTGGTTTTGCTGTGCGTGCTCATCGCAATGCTGCGTAGTCGTGTGTTTGGAGTACTGTCATCTGGTGACAGTACCCCGGCCCTGGAAACAATGCGGGCATTGTTATGGCTCAGAGCAGGGAAATGTAAGACATCTCCAGTTATCACACCCATGGGGAACGGGGCCGGGCTCCAGCTCACACGAAGACATAATAATTTTCTCCCATTATTCAAATCTCCTGTTTCTCTCGCCCCACCTTTTGGCGGCAACCACCGAAGGGAGAAAAATGCTGGATTGTGTGGGTCCAGGGCCCTAGGACATCTTCATACCTGGGCCAGCTGAACCCTGCCTGGGGGCTCACAGGAGTCAGGGAACCGGGCACTGCTCCTGAGGGGCCCTCCAGGGCCTGGCTGGCAACACGAGTGTCCAGCAAGCCACTTCTTGGATCTGCTCCTTCCCCCTGCACAGTTGTCGGTTGACCTGAGGCCCACAATGCTCTGGCAGAGCCAGTGATGACGCTGACACTGGGGAGAGATGTGATCAGCGGGTGGAGGCAGCCCCTCACCCGCCTACGGCCAAGAGGGCCAACTCTGGCCAGAGGTGGCTGCTCCTGACTCCTGGAGACTGAGGCTCCATGTGGCACAGCCAGCTGCCCTAGGGTCAGGTGGCAGGAGAGACCCCACTCCAAGCCTGGTGGGGCCGGGTGCCTCCCAGGGAGGCTGCCTCACCCGCCACTGGCTGCCCAGGCCATGCTGCAAGGCGGGAGCCAGTGTAAGCAGATACCTCACAGTTATGCAACCCGGGTCGGCGAGGATGGGCTGTGTGCACTGGACCAGCCAAAACAAGCACCATCCCGGCTCCAGAGTGTGAAATCCTCAGGCCCAGTTACAGGGAGACTCGGGGAGGCAGGGAGGGGCTTGACTCCTGGGAAGAGCAGTGTGCAGGGAGGTCTGGCCTCCTCTGTATGGCTGGACCAGCCCCTCTCGTTCATTCCAGTGCCCCAGGGAAGGCAGGAGGACGCTTCTAGAGCCTTCTCCTCTTTCCCCCAGTTAGACCAGGACATTTCACACATAAACCCTGTGCATGGTGGGGAGTGGAGTGGGGGTGGGGTGGGGATACTTTTGCTCCCTTTCTTGTACTATGAGTCTGTGGAGGCTGGTCAGCAGTCTCTGTGCCGGGCAGTAGCAGCTGGAGATTCCCCATGAGAGCTGGGCAGTGACCACAGGTGCTCACTGGAAAAGCCCTGTGCAGCGGGACCATGGCCACCCCATGGGCTGGGGTACCCTAGAACTGACCAGGTCCTACTGATCAGTACTCATGAGTACTGAGGGGAGGGAGGACCCAGAGCACTGGCCCAGGCTTTGGGTTGAGAGGCAGCTGGGAAGGAGATGCAGAAAAAGGGAGAGTAGTTACCTTGGTGGAACCCCCATTTGTGAAGAAGAGGTGGTGCCCACCTGGGGGCTACAATCCTGTACTGCCACCCATGTGAAAGAAGGCCTTGGTGTCACCGCACGCACTCCTGACTGAGCCAGCATCAGGAAGGACC